GCCCCCCCACCGTACACCGGCACCTCTCGCGACCCCAGCCTCCCAGGCGGGGATAGAGACACTCTCCCCTCCACAAAGACCATCCTCACAGGACATAGGCCCCCCGCCCCGCCGGCCACAGACCCTGCTCCCCGGGACACGAGGGCCACTCCCTCCTCATAGAGTGCAGACTCCCCCTTCACAGGGTGCAGATGTCCCCACCTATGGGTTACAGACCCTCTTCGTGGGGCAGTCTCCCCAGTGTCACGGACACATGCCTCCCATGGACACAAGCTCTTGAAGGACACAGCTCCTTCATGCAAAGGTGAGTCACAGGGAAGCCAGGCAGACAGTAGTACCCCAGAGCAGTCTCCTTGACAATCCAGGAAGGCAGGGGGGCGGGGTGCATTTTGCCTAAAGAAAAGGTAGATGGATGAGGGAGAAGCACCCAGAAGAGGGAAGGGAACTGAGACAGGAAGACCCATAAAGGCTGCCATCCCCCTTGCCCTTCCCCATTCCTGCTCTAGGGGTCAACAATGGTCAGTTTATCTTCTGAACCAAACCCACCGCTTTTGCATATACTGGTCTTGTATTGCGCTTTGGCTTTGGTCACACAGAGCTTTCATTGCACTTCCCACCGTGGAGAATTGTTGTTTTCCTCACTGTAACAACTTTCTCATCAGTTCCCCCCTAGGGCAAAGTAGATTTCCAGGCCTTTCTTCTGAGCATCCTACCCACTGATCTTTTGGTGCACAGCCGGGCGCCTTAATGGTTAGCACTGCTAGGGAATTCTGCAGGGCCACAGCAGAATGAAAAGGAACCATCCCAGTATGTGGCCACGTAGATGAGTCCCGAGACAGTGCAAAGCCCAAGCAATACATGGGGTGAATCCATCTCAGTCTATCGTGGGTATATATGTGGTATTCACATGCGCAAAGAAGACCAAGGGTGTGGTTGACAAGGAATTGGAGAGAGCGTGTACCTGGCAAGTGTGGGGGGCTGGGTCCTCATGCTCCTCCTGGGACCTTAGACCTGATGTCTAAGGGGATTTTGTAGGTGTGGCTTAATGAGCCTAACTCTAAGTGTCATCCTAAGAGTCCTCCTAAAAGTGGGCTTGGGGGGGTCACAGTCAGAGGAGCTGTGAGGGCCACTCAGGGCAGGTGGGCTCTGGGAGCAGGAAAAGCAGAGACAGGCCCTCCCCTAGAGTTTGCTGCAGAACACCGGCCCTCAACATCCTGAGTCCAGCTTTCTGCTCTCCATTGTGGACATCTGGCTTCTAGACCGTAAGAGGAGACGTTTGTGATTCTTTTTTTGTTTTGATATGACTGATTTGGCCGCAAGTGTCGAGAGCATTGTGGCTTCGCATTCAACAGCTCAGACACCTGCTGTCTGGTGACTGACGCTGACTGCTTGTCTTCCTTCCTCCCTATGTTCATGTTTCCCTTCACCCTCCTTTCCTGCCCCTGCGTGTCTCCTGAGCTTTTCCTTGGGCCAACGCTGCCCTTCTGACCTCATGTGGCTGATGGTTCTCAGAAGAGTCTACCTGCATGATGTCTGTCTACCTGTCTGTCATTTGGCTGCATTGTGCGTGGGATGAGTTCACGTCCAGGCTCGAAGGCTAACTAAGGCCATATTCTCAGGGGATCCACTAGCGAATCTCTGCTCAGGATCTCCTATTGTGACACCTTTCAGCAGTGACCTCCGGACACCATCTGCTCACAGTCCTTAGCCTCACAGTCCCCTCAGTGTGCTTGGTTTTCTTTGCTCTTCTTTGCTCTGGATGGGGAGAGACCCAATAGTTGCACCTTGGATGTGTTAGGCATCTAGCTTAGGGACAGGGGGCTGTCCCTCCCATGCCTGCAAAGGCCCCCTCATAAAGGAGGTTGGAAAGAAATCAGACAACCATTAGACACCTATGAAGACCCCAAACTGAGCATGCTCATACTCAAGTCCCAGAGCCAGGTGGGCGGTACACCTGGGCCATCCAAACTAAGCCCAGGTCCGTGACATCACCCAGGTAGTAGGCCTAACTCAGCCATTGGGGGTCAACCACCCCTTCTCTCAGCCAAGAGGT